AGAACATTATGTCTAAGATCGTTGTAAAACGTTATTATAGTGAACTTTTAATATTCCTCCAAAAAGTAATCACTAATTTTCTTTGTTGCATTTGATTTAATTTAATCGTTCTAATAAAAGCTTCAATTTTTCTAGCAGCCTTAATATATTCGTTTGTATTATTATCTTGTTGGAGAAGAAACGTTTGTACTGTTTCCAAGCTTTTCATTGCCGTGTCAGTGGTGATGATGGTGACTTCATTACTATCATCATCTTCCATTTGTTTTGAACTATCAGTGGTTAAATCAACTGTTCTAAATGTGTCTGCAAGCTCTGTAATAACTTGATCATCATCGGGAAGTTCATAAACAATATCTTCGTCAGGAATGGATAAGAATTCTTCAACTTGCATTGGGTAAGTAAGATAGGGATGAAGAGATGCAAGTGCATCAGTAAGATCATCAAGTTCATCGAGCTCCAAATCCATTGTTTGGTCAGAGAGATTTTTTAAATTAGTATTGGCATCTGTGAAAAGAATTTCAGTGTGACGCCAACAATTACGAATTATTTCAGCAGTGACTTCTTCCCAGCTTTGAATAATAAAGCGTATGGCTTGCAATACATTCATTTTTAGCTCATCTGCACGCCCACCATTTTCTATCTGTTCTAACATCCATCTTAAAAAAAAATATAAATGCAAAATTTTATTTACTTATTTATTTATTTTTTTTTTTTAAATTATTAAAATTTTAATAGGTTTGCGATCCGGAAGATTAGTTTGTAAATTTATATACAGTCAACTCTGGATATACCGTATAGCTAGGGTGGTTAATGGGTTGGGTTGGTTTGGGTTAACCCAATCTTCAACCCACTCCACTAATTTAGACTTACTCCAATATTTTGCTCCAGGTTGCTCCATAGTGCTCCGGGTTGCTCCTCCGGAGTGAGCTACTCCATTAACAACCTTATGTATAGCACTGCTTATAATATTTCCATAAATAATACCTTATAATTAAGACCCGGGTATTATTAACCATCCTACTGGTCTATTTCTTGAATAAAAGCTGTGTATAATTATTATTTTCATATAAATATCTTCAAATATAGTACCTGGTTTCGTACAAAATGGTACTAATCAATTTCAAAAATCAAAATTTTGAATAAGACCTTGGGTACTATAAGCAGTACTATATGGTAATAAATATTTTTATAGAGAACATACTCTATAACAAACTTTTTTAAAAATGTTTATTATAAAGGTTGGTTTGGAAATATAGTAATTTAATTTATAATGAACTTTTAAAAATTTTTACTATAAAAGCCATCAGTTCATTATAAAGAAAATTAACTGTATATAATTTTTTTAAAAAAATCTATCCAAAGTTATTATAATACATAAAAAATTTTTAAATTTTTAAAATTTGGCCTTGCTAAATTATAAAAATTAAAAATTTTTATAAGCTTATTTCAAATAAAATGAATCTTACTGAATATGATAGTGATAGTAGTATCTCTTGAAGCTTATGATAATACCGGCATCAAGTAGTTGGATTTTAGAAGTAATATTTGGAGGTAGGAAAGTAATATCAGTATATTGTAAGGTAAGGGCATCCAATTTATGGCTAGCGCAATTGTTAAGGATAAGTAATACATGTTGACCTCGATGCTTTAAACCAATTTGATAATCGAAATTCTTAAGCCAATCTTGAAATAAGGTAGCAATCATCCATGCCTTGGCACTATTCCTATATTTAACAGCTAAATTTTGAATTTTAATATTTTTAAAGCAGCATGGTTTTGCATATTTTCTGATTACGAAAGGAGCCAACTTATGTAAACCATCAGCATTTGTGCACAATGTGATTGAAAGACATTCTCTCTCTACTTTACGTCCAGAAAGACGCTGAGTCGCCAATGTTCTGTCTGGTTCCAATCTATAAAATAAGTTTAGTGATAAGCTTTAATTATAATCAATAAAATATATTCATACCATATGATCATAAAATGACACCAAGGGATTATTTTAAGATATGAGTGCTGCAAAGCTAAAACCAGCATTTGTGAATTTTCCGAAATAAATTTTATAGAAACGACTTATTAGACACATGATCCATTGAATAGAATTTATTATAGAATTTATTATAATTCATCAGGAATCTGATAACTGTTTCTGAAAAGCGGAGCCGGCAAAAGCCGAAATTGCAGGTTTTAGCTTTGCAGCACTCATATATTATTTTTGATAGTTAAGATTTAATTTTGATAAAGATTATTTATTTGTCAAAATTAAATCTTAACTTTCTGAAAATTGTGTTCTGAAATAAAATTCTTAGGTATTATTTCGCAATAATATGGCAATGCAAAAGTTTATACCGATAAAACAGCCCGGTCTCATCCATATTATAGATTCTTTCTAAGGGGTAGTTTGAGGTTTTATTTCTTAACAAGGGTATAGTATTATTGATAGCTGTTATATCAGCAGATTCAGCTTCTCCTTCTAGATGATGTTGACGAATTCTATTTCTATCCTTAAATTTCTCAAGCCAGCCATTAGAAAATTTTAACACCCCTTGAGGAATTCTCAAGCCATCAGCGAGTAGCTTTAATATAGTCAATAAGCATATTCGTTAGATAGAAATGTAAAAAAAAAATATAATTTTAAATTAATCTTTTTTTTTTTTTTAAAAAAAAACAATATATATAGGCATTCTTGATATAAATATGAATAAGCAAAAAAAGCCTTTGAATATCTAAAATATATAACACAAGAGACCTTCGCTTTTTCAACAAGTAGAGCATCGCTTAGGATTGTTCGATTTTGGTAAATTAGCACAAACTCTTTGAGTGCAAGATCAAGTTCTGGATAAGTTACTGCTCTGTGACACTTTGTATCAGGATTAGGAATTTCAGAGAAAGCCTTTCTTCTCCTGTTTTCAAAATATGTAAAATTGTGCTTTCATCAATTCTTAGACCTCATTTTGTCTGATCCAATTAACATACTGAGATCGTGTTTGTTTATTTTTACGAGCATATTCACAAAGTTCATGTTTTTGCATTTCTGTAAGAGTGGTTCTTTTAATTTTTTTTTTTATCATTTTTACAATTTTTTTTAAAGATAAGATAACAAATGTTTTTTTTTTATTAAAGACGAGACAGTAACTTGTAAGTTTTTTTTTTCTTTTTTTTATTAAAGATGAAATGATTCTTTTATACATGTCAGAATAATACAAGTAGTTGCAGTATAATCTAACCTATATTCGAACTTGTTTATATGTGCATTATCTCAACATTCAGGTATCGCATTATTAACAAAAACAGATACAGATCCGGTAAATAAGACCCAGGAATGACTATCTGATTTTTGCTAAAATGTATAGAGCATAATATGCAATTTGTGGTATATAAATTATTTGAATCAAATTTTATGGGCCTTTTCAGCGGTTCAGACTTTTTTAGCGATGTAGTATTATAATATGTATTTAAATTATACATAACAATTCAATTTTTTTTATTAGAACCAGATAAAGCATTCATATCAAGGCGTAAAATACCAACTCATTTACTGGTCATGCAGCCCATTGTTTCAAGCATTTGTTTTTGATACATTAGAATAATTAAAATCATTTAAATCAAGAACGATATTTTTTGAATAGCTGGTAAATAAGATGCCCTGATTCATATTACATATTAAGATATTTATGAAAAGAGTCTGAACCACTGAAAGAGGCCTATTTGTTAAATGTATAATATAATAATTAAGATTATGCAAGTGTCAAATTTGGAACTATGTCTTAATAATATCATACAACGCTTGCAGAATCTTAATGGTAATTATTTTTTTTTTAGTTTAGCGAACTTTTCATTAAAAAATATTAACTTTGATGTTAGATTTTATAGTTGATGAGTGCTATGCAGGGTCTTAAATAACATTGTTACATATTTTAACAATATTAGTTTTTTTTAGCATATCTAAACAATTCATATGCAGCGTTGAAAATTCACTATGTACGCATGTATTGTTATTTGCACAAAATTAACAATGGGCTGTGCAATTTGCACAAAAATAGAATAACATTTACGTATAAAAAAATTTTTTGCACTGCATTTTTCAATACTGTTCATAGATACGACAAGGACAGCTATCGATTTTACAGGTCATGGGGTAGCGTCACCAATGTCCAATATGCAGGGTCAAAATTTTCATAGCGATAGAACTATAGATCCAATACTGATTCGTTTTCAACAACTGCTGCAGGTGGCGCTACTAGTGATGCCTGACGAAACCATGTGATGCTAATTGTCACGTGGTACAATATATAAAAATCAACAATCTATTTAGTTTTTTTTATAAGTAATGGCATGTGACAATTAGCATCACATGGTTTCGTCAGGCATCACTAGGCGCTACCCACATGACCCCGATGGCCGCCCTGGTCGTATCCTGTTCATACGCATACTTTTTTGTAACTAACAATGCAGCATCGCATGACGATCTCAGGTATCATTATACTAGAAAGAATGAATAAAAAAAAACAATGAATGAATAAAAAAAAAAACAATGAATAAAAAAAAAAAACTAACAATGCCGTGAGTAATTTTTTTTTTGTTGGTAGCAATACAATTGATATTATTGATAGAGGCTAAGTCAATTGAACATCATTAAGTCAAGGTATTTTTTACCCAAAGATTAGATATGCCATTTTCATCTTTCAAGATTTTGTATATCAAATTAGCAAACAAAAAGACTTTAATACGTATGTTCTAATGAGACTTTCATTACCAATGCTATATCAGGTTTTGATCAGAGTAAGTTGCCAAAAATAATTATCTGATCAAAAAAAGATATGAATATTGAATAGTAGATAGCTTAATAATGTAAAATATCTCTAAAGTTCAGTAAAAAGAAATAAGTGCTGCATAACTGAAACCTGAAATTCTTGATTTTTGGAATTTTCACTTACAGAAATAGGCTAATCAGACTTCTGATAAATGATATTCAATCATATAATATTGAATTATGTGTCTGATAAGCCTGTTTTTGTAAAATTAGATTTTGAAAAATTAACAATTTCAAGTTTTAGTTGTGCATAGGGCTGTTATAAGTCTGATCTTTTTGGTCCTGACTCGGTAAATAGGAACTTCAATTAGGACTCAGTCCTTGAATCGAGTCCATGCATGTAATAATAATAATAAGTACTATATTTTGGTCAAATCAATCTCGATATAAATTAACCATTCACATGCATCCCCTTCTAGAACAAAGACATGCATATGGAACTTTGTCCGGAACAGGTCCTAAAAAGTTCGTGTGAGTCGATTCAAAGATCGGTCTGACAAGCTTTTTAACAGCCCTAGTTGTGCAGCACTCAGATATTGTTTAACTTTGTAACATGTATGCTGTTTGATTAATAAAAACCATCAACTTGTAATAGGTTTTGTTAACAACAATTATAGTATCATTTTGAACTATTAAAACTTATTTTATTCTGTAATTTTACGTCAATTGTGCAAACCTCTAAATCTAAATTTTAAGATTTTTTATTTAGTGACAATAGCGATAGTGTCACGATTAAAGGTGTTGAATCGTCCAGAACCCAATACAATCTTATGAGTTATTGCTGTATTGTTATATTTTTCATATATTTATGAACATGACCCACAATTTTGAAAGCTGCCCTGGTCGATTCTAGAGGCGTTGAGCAAATTCGAACAAAGGTCTAAATAAAAATTATGATATTTCTACTAATTTGCGTAATCCCAAATCCCAAACGAACCTGTCATTATGCATAATAATTGGAATATTTCATATTTTTCCACTGAAAAATATGATTTTTTCGAATTCAACCAACTGCATCTTTTTGTCAAACGTTTCCAAATTGGGTTTTCAAAACTTGACTGCACAATAACAAGTGTTTCCTTCAATAAAAGGAACAAGAATCAAAATTGCAACCATAAGTTTCCTCTGCAGCACCACTAAAAACCGGTATACAATAACGAGTATCATGAACCGCAAATTTTGTCGATTTTACAAAGCTTAAAATAGATTCTTGAAGAGTACTATTTTTTAACAGACAGATAAAGTACTCATCACAATCTTCATATTCTCGATGAGGTTCGCTATATTTTCTAATACTGCTGATTGGTTTATTTCGTCCAATAGGTTATATCTGCAAAGAATTTCATCTGCGATGAGGTCTTCTTCTCACATAATTTCCAGAATGCTTTGCTAGTTTTTAATTTAAGTTCTGAACGATTATTGTGTACATATGAATTTGAACTTTCATGAAATAAGAGTCTTCAAATGTACCCATATTGATTTTTTATTGACTATTCGATTTTTAATAATTTTTGCATTGTTTAAAAGGCCAAAAGTGTCATATAATGTGCGTAAGTTATTTGAACTACAATAAATTTGCAGAAATTGATTTGTTTGTTATATTGATAAAACAACAAGTTCAAAAAGATTTTATTATAATAAAAATAAATTGATTAGATTATATGATTTATCAATGATGAAATAAGTGCGTGAGTAAAAACCTGGAAATAAAATTTAGCCCATAGTAATACTATTATTGTATCTTACTGGAATTATCCTTATCAAATCACGATATTGTTCAAGTTTAGCTTGTTTCAAACGAGATCCCTAATTTCTTTCGTTTACCAATCAAATTATAAGATCAGGTGTACAGTAACATAAAATTTTCAAAAAAAATCGAAGTTTTTGAAGTTTTTTTTAAAAATCGCAGTAACTTAAAATTTTGGTTACATAACCACTTTTCGTGTTCTAACAAAAAAAATACCTTGTAAAATTTTATAATAGTATGTGTTCTATTAGACATTTGATTGAAAAGCAGGATTTTTCTTCGTCCAATAGGGAGGAAAATTAGTAAACCTGTTTCAAAGACAAACTTTTATAGAACAGATCTTTACTATTTCTGGGATTCCTTAAAGTGGGCAGATTATGTAATAATCAACTAATCAAATCGTTAAAATTTGAGCCAAACAAAAATGCGAAAAATATCAAATGGTAGTCTTAACCCAACTTGATGTATTAACAATATAATGCCGAGAAGGCAATTTTAACATCTCTAGCCCTAACCCTAAGGGACCTTAACCCTAATGTTAATGAAAAATGTCATGATATGTAATCTACCCCACTTTAAAACTCTGAATTAGCCAGGGCGGCCCCTCAAAGTGCTAGTACGTAATCACGGCGGGCGCAGCCAAAGTATATATATATTGCAATATTGAATTATGTACAATATGCAGCTAGAGAACCAATAAATTGCACCAATTGATCTTATGTCACTGGCACTTTGGGGGGCCGCCCTGGCTAATTCTAAAACTCCCTATTTCTAATATTCGAATGCTCTATTTAAGATTAGTGATTACTTTTTGGAGGAATATTAAAAGTTCACTATAATAACGTTTTACAACGATCTTAGACATAATGTTCT